AGTTGTAGTGAAACTTGTTTTATTAATTAATAAAAGTTTGTTCTTTCCATTCTATATTAAGAATTTATATGGGCAAAATGTTTGCATTATAATTAATATATGGTATGCATGTGTATCTTATATTTTACATTGTAGATAATCTAGTGTGTAGAGTTTGATTTATACACAAAAAATCAGATTATCGGATCCTTATATAATATGAGTATATGTTCACAATCCTAAATGAAATTGGACACACCATTGGTATGATTGTAGTGTAATATTCTGACATAGTCTGTCTTGACTGTAGGAGACTGTTTGATGTCTTGAATTATTGCACTAGTACGCTTTGTGTATTGAATAGACTCATGTTAAGGTTATTATCGTTTATTAATTCAATAGGATAATAAATATCTAGTAATTATTATAATTGCTTAAGATTTTAATCCCAAAATATTTAATTGTCACGTGCATTTAATGTTTGTCACTTTAATTCATCAAATTGTAAGATTCATATTGAGTCAATAAACTCGTTGAATTGAGAGATGATGTTATTTGTATGGTAAAAATTAAATATTAAAGGAAATTATGTCCTAGTATTTAAATGGGTTGATGATGTCCTCTTGAGAAAACTCATAAGTTTTGTCCATGTCAAATCCTGCAGGTGGATTTAATTATTTAACATGACAAATAAGTTGAGTGGTAAGGTCTCAAGGAATAAAAGAAGTTAATTAAATATAATTGTTAGTAATTTATCTAATTGATAGATATCTGTAATCTTAAACGTGAGGATATTATTAAGCATATAATAATAAGGAGCTCGAATATAATTTTGAAATGAAGTTCAAGAGATCAATTATAAGTCTTTAATGGACCGATTTATTATTAATGGATTATAAGATGTTTGTTCTGGGTTGAACATAAGAATCCTAAACCCATTGGAAGCCTGATCTTTATTTCTCCTTAGGGTCTCTGTCATAGCTTATATATAGACGTTTATTCTCTCTAATTTTGTATCTATTCTTTACTCACATTTTTTAGAGACACTGAAAAAGAGAGCTAGAATTCGGAGGTCTTGACAGCCTACATTGCATCCGGATTCTAACGTTGGGGGATACATACAAAATGCCGCGAGGTTCCTCGAACTGTCCTTTAGTTGCTCATTGTTCAGTTCTGCGTTCATGCTTAGATGAGATCAATCCCGAGGGATTTGAAGGTAAATCTTAATTCTGCCTTATAGGGGTTTAAATTTTTTTTTTGATATTCGATACACCGCCACCTACTACCATAACCCATCACCACCCATTGGCGCCCCACCATTGCCGCCAACCACTGTCACCCATCTCCACCACGCTAACCACCACCACCCGTCATCACCCACCACTGCCTCAACCTACTATCACCCATCCTCACCACACCTACAATCACTGCCACTATTGCCATTTGCACCCACACATTATACTGTCTCCTAAAAGCACCCATCGTTACCCATCACTACCATCGTCATCGTCCACCACCACACCATCGTCGTCACCCCACCACCACTATTGCCAACCACAATCATCGTCGCTCACCACCACTAACACCCACCATTACCACCGTCGTCACTCACAACTGCCACTACCACCATCGTCACCTAAAACCCATCCCCACCATCACCGTTGCCACCCATGACTTTCACCATCACCACAGTTGTCGTATCAAAGGATATATAGAAAAATGACATTTATTTGAACACAATTAATTAATTTTTCATCCACTTTTCCTTTCAATTTTGAAGGGATTGATTTTGGTGAGTTGAAAGAAAAATTTATTTATCCACTTTTTCATCCTTTCTATTTTTCTTCTTTACCAAACATAATATTTATCTATCATATCAAACAAACCATAAATTTCCAACATTATTGGGTATGCACAGTGCAATATTAATGGTTTTAAGAGAGTTATTGGTGATTGTTGAATGAGTCTATTTGAGACTGTCGAATAAACTTATTGAAATCTGCTCTATTTTATATTATAAATTATAGATACATCAGTGATATAAGTCATTTATTTACTCTCCAGGTTGCAAAAATTGTTGAAAGTAATTTGATTTATAATGTTGGTAAATAGTTATTTGGACTTATGTTCACAAGAAGATTTTAATATTATATAAACAAACAAATAAATAACAATGAACATAATAGAAATTCATATCAAGATAAGTTTAGAATAGTCTGGATTGAGGCACGCCAAAAGCACTGTCCTAAGAAGAGATACACCCCATCTGCATAGAGTATTCCGGCGTTCTTTTCTCAATATATAACAATCTCAGAGAAGCTACGGTACAGACGTGAACCTCTCTATTACGAACGATCACAACTCAAGTTGCCCAAAAAAAAACACATATAAATCATACAACAAATAAACGAATATTTTATATGAAAAAATATAAAAAATAGTGTATCTACTTCATCAAAAATCCTTAGTTGATCTCAAACGACTAGTTTGAAGTCATTAGTCCGAACTTCAAAACACATTAAAAATATTAGTAATGCTTGATGATGACACACATATACGCGCACACACACACATATATATACATAATATATATTATATATATAATATATACACATATGTAATTGTTTTTAAAAAATCCTATGAAATATAAATAATTAAAACATTATTGTGGTAGGGTATACATAATAATTATTCAAAAATTTTCTTTTAATATTAAATTATTCTAACAAAATTATGTCACAATCGAACAAACACTGTTTTACAAAAATTTACAATTTTATTTTGTTTTGCTTGTACAAAAAGAAAAGAAAAGAGTTTGGTTACGTTTTAATTATAATAGAGACATTAACAAAATGGGGACTGGACTCTTGTGTCCTTTTTTTTTTATACCAATACTGATGTCCTTATGGTATATTTTTTATCAACTTTTTTTTACCAAATAATTTCATACAAAACAACCATTGTCGGTGGACAATCTGTGATACTCGATGAATCTTTTTTTTTTTTCAATGTGTCTCAATAATTCAACTATTCACGTGCAATTTAGATGTATTTAACAAGAGTAATTTTTTCCCAGTTATCTTTAAAAATTTTAAAAATAATAATAATAATTTTGTGATAAAAGTAAAATCATATTTGATTAGTATATAACAAAGGTGATCTATATAAATCTTAATATATATACGATTAAACTTACAAAAAAGAGAGAAAGTTTGAATGAATAAGATAAAAGAAAAAATATAAAAAAACAAAAGATGCTTAAAAAGTACAAAAAAATATTTTAAAAAGCATTTAGGATAAGTATTATGGTAAAAAAGAAAAGTGCAAGTGTACTTATTTTGACCACCTATCTTTTTGTTAGTAGAGAATAGTGTCTTGCTTCATGTCCATTCAGTAAAAAGGGTGTCATTATAAGATTTGAATGATTCTCTACCTAACAAGTTAAATTTTTGAATCTTAAAGTCGTGAAAGAGACAAAGCCAAGGATGGATGGATTGAGAACGGCGGAGAATTCACCCCATCTTACGTTATAGCTAGGTGGTTTTCCAGCATGGGATTAATGTAGTATGATAGTCGCAAAGACGAGAAATACATGCCACGAAACCAGGTGAAGGAGCCATAATAGCTGAGGCATGAAAACACCGATTGTCCGGTAAATATTTGCTGACTATGGAGGTGACAAGACAGCCTTATATGAGTGCATGCTATGTGCTTGAGAAAGAGCGACAACACGCTCAAAAGCCGGCACAAAATGACATCTCCAAATTTCAAAAATGGGTAAAGCGGGTATATCATAAATTTAAAAAATAGATTTAAAAATTAAATTTAATAATTACGATTATTAATTTTATTGTGGATTTCAACATTTATTGATACCTATAATATATTTAATGGTTATAATTATCAAATCTTTTTTTAATTTTAAGTTCACGTACCATTATTCATCCTAATCAGGAGAGTTATATTGGATTGGAAAACACTATATCTAAGTTTAATTTAATTACCATTTTAACTTGGGTTATACAACTTAAAATTTCTTTTCAGTACTGTACCTCTTATTTTTTATCAATGAAAATATAACACGTGTAAAGTGTTATGTATTTTCTTATTTCACTTTATTTTATTATTTTTTAAATCAATAATTATAAAAAAAAAAAATCAACACAATATAATGGTTATGATCAATTTTTTGGTCCAATATCCAGATTTTTTGGTGGGTACCATAGTGCGGTCCACTACTTGAAAGTATAAGTTAGTTAGTTACACTTTTTAAAAGACAAATTACTACTTTTTTTTTTGGTCAATTACATGTTTTAAAGGTGAAGTAGTAAGGCGTAACTGACTCAAAAAATAGTAACTTTTGGTACGATATTTTATTTTTTTTTCGGTGCGGTAAAATTACCCTACAACTTGGGGTTAGAAAGTGGTTTCAAATTTGGAGTTAAAATTCGGATTCAATTTCGGGTCACATCAGCAGATTTGAAATTTGGGTCACAAGGTCTCAAAATGAACATTGCCTGAAATTAGATAGGGATTTTTTTCTTAATTTTCCAAACTCAATCTTAGTGTTGAAAATTTCAATCCAAATAAACATATCTCAGATTCTATTCGTACAAATTCTTTTTACATTCATGATCAAGTTGGGTAATGTTATTTAGAACTAATTTGAAAACTTAATATATACTAATGGTAGAATGACAATGGATCCAATTAATACATGGTGCATATAGTCAATTCAATGATTTTAATATATTAAAAAATAATTATTAAATGATCCCAATCTGGGGTGGATGTCCAAGATATATTAAAATATCAAACTAGTTGTCGGAATTTAGATCCAACTACTACTATTGTTTCACCTATTAGGGTTAATCGACAACTTCTCCTTCTAGCTTAGGGCTTTGCGTACCATCATGTGTTCAGACTTCTAGGAAAACCATAGTCCCTTCCTCTATTTATTGCTTTGAAGTGCCCATAACTCTGTCATTTAGTCCATGCCTATGCCAAGACTGCTACAGAAGTTAACAAAGAAGCAACAACATGTGGTAGAAATGGTTAAGTACACCATTATCTTTATCATCATCTTCTTCATCATCACTTATTGCATGATGGTGGAGGTGTTCGGAACACTTGGCAGTCGCCACCGCTATTCGGCTCCGATCAGTGGTTTCTCTTTCTCCATAAGAAGAGCATATTCTGGTCCGAACCATCATGGTCCTGGACATTAATGAAAAGCAAGCAGGGTGGGTTCATAATTCATTGTTTGTCTTCCAGAAAAATAGAGTCAAGGTGTATGACAGTCTGCAATACATAGTACATTTTTATTCATGTAATTGTTTTCCTTTTGAGATAGTAAACACACATGTTTTTTTTTTCGGCCTTTGATCATGAAACAGTTGAAAATTATGTTTTAATGTTGAGATATAATTTAAAACAGTTGAAAATTATTTAGTTTTTTTCAAAGTTGCAGCTTCTATACCTCTCGGTGTAATGCATGCTCATTCCTATCAGTTGTTACATAGAGGTCATGACGGGCAGAATACACGAAACTATGTGTTTGGGCTGGAAAGTACACATCCACATACGAAGAGGACCGAAACAGTGATAGTTAGGCTTGTCAATGGATCAAATTCGAAACAATTCAGTATAAATTTGAACATTATAAAACAGTTTTTTTCTATCTTGTCTTCACATGCAAAGTTCGAGTCTTAGTAGTCTCTCTCCCCTATGTACTACTGTATCTGCCATTATAGTGCCCCACCCCAAAAACAAAACTTATTTTCTTAATTGGGTTCAATAAGAACAGGGGTATCCAAAAACAATTACTAGGAAGAGATCTCTCAGCGATAGAGTTAGACTTTGGTTGATATATCTGCATTTAAAAGTTAAGTAGTTTGTTACAGCTACCTTTAAAATGCCTCAATATTCAAGTTCATAATAGGGGGAAGACTACAGAGTCTTGGAAGTTTGGCCAGTGATTTCATCAATGAATTGATCAATATTCCGATCAGAAGAACCACCTTCCGCCACCGCTTTCCTAGCCGCTTCCTTCAACTCCATTGCCCTCTTCTTCATCTCTCCTGATCTAGGCCCTTCAGTGACCTCAGCAATGCACCTTTCCACCTCCTCTTGCCTAACAACACCATCTTCCCCAGCCAACATTCTCACACCCATCTTGAAAACATCAACCACAAGCTTCGCATTTGTGGGCTGATCTGTCCATCCCGGAAATCCGATCGTTGGCACTCCGGCCACCACTGCCTCCAACGTCGAATTCCACCCGCAGTGGCTCATGAAACACGCCACCGCCAGGTGCATAAGAACCCTTTCTTGACAACACCATGACACCACCAGCCCTCTTTCTTTCGTCTCCTCCAAAAACCCTAACGGCAGTTCTGCAATTTTGTCCTCGGAGTCTCTCTCCGGTGTCCTCACCACCCAAAGAAATGGTCGTGTGCTTTTCTTCAAAGCCATAGCTATATTCTCCATCTGTTTCTTATCTAACACAGTTATGCTACCAAAGGCAATGTAAATGACTGAAGAAGGTGGCTTATTGTCAAGCCATTGCAGACAAGAGTCTTTAGTCATGGCGTTGTCTTCTTTTACTTGAAAAAGAGAAGGCACCAATGGGCCTACAGGAAGAAGAAACACTTGACTGAGTGAATCCATAGACTGAAGAACGTCTGTTTCGAGCTCGGAGAATGAATTCACCAACACCCATTTCACCTTTTCCAAACTTTTAACTGAATCAGAGACCAATTTTCTAAAGTGATAAGGGCTTGAAGGAAGGATAAATGTGGGAAGATCTTTCTCTTCTAACAATGGCAATCCAGGAACTTCCAAGAAGTCAATAGGGTTTTCCAACAATGGTGGTGGCTTTAATCCCTTATGGTACTTACAGTAAATTGAATAAAGAGAGAAAGCTTGTATAAAAAGCATGGCACAAGGAATGCCTTGATCAGCAGCAACATCTGCCACCCAAGGCACAAAAGGCTGATTGATAATGCAAGAAAATTTTATGTCCTTTTCTGCTAAATTGGTAATGAGATTGGAGAGATTTTTGGACCCTCTGATTGGTAGAGAATCCATTAACAAGAGATGCGCAAGCTTATCCCGATCCGTGTCGAGGCTTAGGCCATCGGAGAAGAATTCGACATGGATTTTAGGGTTTTCTTCTCCGATGGTGGAGATAATGTGAGTGACCACTTCTTCTTCCGCAACTTCAGTGGTGGCTAATGTTACATGAAGGCCCTTTGAGGCAAGGCGTTTGGCAAATCTTAGCATGGGAGTTATGTGGCCTTGCATTGGTAAAGTGACCATGAGGACATGAATCCCTTTATCCGCCATTGTTGTTGGACTGTGTGGATGTGTTTTCGAGAGAAACAAGCTAGCATGCAGAGAAAAGTTGATGAAGAAAGCTAGTAATTTGGGGTCTGTATGTGTGTGGGAGAGAGAAAGGTGATGGAGGATGATAGTTTCCAAGAGACTAGCTCCATTTATACAACGCATACCTACGTAATTTAATGCATGTAGCCAAACGTCTATATCTTTTTCATTAAACTTTCATTTAATAGTAGGGTGACATGTGCACATATATATAATAGATGTGAAAAGTGAGATGCTATTTATACTTAATTTTAAGAGTAATATTATTTGGACATAAAAATTTGACCTAATTTATTAACATTAATGATGTGAATTCAGTAAAACTATTGAATCAACACCTAGTTTCAATGTTTGATGGGTCTCATAATTATTCAAAAGTTATAGTAAATTAGGTTAGCAAATTAGGTCTCAATAGTATTGCTCTTAATTTAATGATCTTATTTAGAGATAGGGTTAATTGCAATTTGTATCCCGAAAGATAGTTTGAATCTCAATTTAGACCCCAAAAATCAAAAATCTCAATTTACACCTTCAAAGATAGAAATTTGTATTAATATGCACCCCCAAAGATAAAAAAAATCTCAATTTGCATCCTCAAAGATAGAAATTTGTATCAATGTGCACCTAAAACTAAATTTGATAAATTATACCTAGATCTGTTAATGTTTGTCACTTAGTCAATTGCACTCCTTCACATTTAGAATATTACTCCTACATCTCATGATGTTTATGCACGTATAATACGTAACCCCTTTTCGTTGATATCGATTATTATAACCGTTAAAACATATGATTTTATCCTAATAAAAAATTATAATTTCATATTACCCTTTATTTTGTGGGTCCGATATAATTTAAAGTTCAAAATCAAGTTTATTATTTAAATGTCCAATAGAATGTAGATATTTATATAATATTTTTTATATCCAATACAATATATCACTCAATGTGCAACATTTTATTCTATTAGACATTTAAATGATAAGCTTGATTTTGAACTTTAGAGTATATTGGACCCATAAAATAAAGAGTAATATGAAATTATAATTTTTTATTAGGATAAAATCATATTTTTTAACGGTTATATTAACAGATATCAACAAAAATGGGTTACGTGTTACATGTGCACAAATGTCATGAGATATAAGAGTAATATTCTAAATGTAAAGGGGTCCAAATGATTAAGTGACAAGTATAAGGGGATCTAGGTATAATTTATCAATTAGTTTTAGGTGCACATTGATACAAATTTCTATTTTTGAGAGTGTAAATTGAGATTTTTTATCTTTAGGGGTGCACATTGATACAAATTTCTATTTTTGAGGGTACAATTTGAGATTTTTTATCTTTGAAGGTGCACATTGATACAAATTTTTATATTTTATGGTGTAAATTGAGATTTTTGATATTTGAAGGTGCAAATTGATATTGGAACGATCTTTCAGAGTGTAATTTATAATTAACCCTTAGAGATATGATATATATATCTAGTAATTGAATTGATAGTAAGTCTCAACTAATAGTAGAGTTCATTGTCAATATCTAATGATAAAGAATAATAAGGTTACCAAATAAGGTCACTAAATTATATCCATCTAATCTGGTCCTGCCCAACAATATGTTGCTAAAGCCTAAGCTTTAGGCCCACCCAAATTTAGGCCTCAAATTTTTTGTGTGTATTAGTTCATGTCAAAGTTTTACATATAATATGTTTTAGACATAGTAAAAAGGTCTCATAAGAATATAATCCAATAAAAAAAAATTAAGCCCAATAAATAAGATCGATAATTCTAAAAAAATTGAAATGTCTCAACTTAATTTGTATTTCTTCATCTCTAATTGAAAAACAAATAATATGTATTTCAAATGAATGCAATTTAATTATTATTATTATTTTATCAAATATTAATATGATATTATTTATAAATTTTGCTTTAGGCCACCAATTTCATTGTGTTGCCCGTGCATGTACCATTATTTATAATAGATCTCAGTTAAATGCATGATCAGTGATTTGGTCTTCAGTGAAACTAGATGAAAGTTTAATGGAGAGCTGCTCTCCTTCTTGTCGGTGTGTAAACAAGGTGATTATAAGGTGAAAATATCATTCCACCTCGAGCCACGGGTAATTTTGTAATTTGAACATGCTTTTGAGGTTCACAATGACAGAAAACACCCTTGCAGCGAGATCTGTCGCGATATTCATTGGTGAAAGATTGAATTGGAATAGGTTATCAAATTAGCCGAGTCTATCTCCATCCCTGCATTGTCTCACGGAATGTTCAGGATGGGACAACAGAAAGGTTTGACGCCATGGACGATGATTTTTTAAATTTACGTTACTTTAGTTACGTTTCCATGCTTGACTTTTGTTTCCATAATTACTAGCATTCAAATCACCAGAGTGAATAGTAGTTGATTTCCATTGAAAACATAAAATTCGGATGCAACCAACATAATTTATGTGTGATTACGTGTGTTTGAAATTTGTGTTAGAAATATGAATCTAATAACGCGTAGTTAGAACAATTTCCGCTTTCAAAAATAGTTGGTTAGAGCTTTGATTATTTGTAGCAATCCACCACACAAAACGCCGATGAATATTGCAGTTTCACCGCAACTATGACACTAATTAAGAAAAATGACAGCGACATTTTTGCAAGATAGTAATGCAATTTGTACATAATTAGAGACTTGAGTGTTTAAATTAAGTTATTAAATTAGGTCTAAATAGTATTTTTATTTGCGAGAAGGCATTTCAATCAAAACCATTGTTTTATGAGAAAATCCTGTCAAGATTTTCACAATCCTCACCAAGTGATTCATCAGATTACAAAAAGCCTATATATTTTTTGGAATTTTCTTTAGTTGGTAATAAAGTGGGTAGGTGGAGGATTAATTATTTTCTCTAATACAGTGTTTTAGGGATTTAGATTTTCTCCAATATACGTTCTGCTCAATTGTTTTCAATATTAGATTTAAGTATCGCTTATATCCGTGATAGTTAATTTCTTATTTGAAGAAAATATATTGAAATAGATTTGGATCCTAAATTTCTTTTTATGATTTCATTAGGAGTTTTTTCATGTAACATTGAATAAGATTGCTTCCAATTCTCTTATTCAACTAAGATGCATGTATATATTATACAAACAATATGTGTTCAACTGTCAAATTTGGACTAAAGATTGGTGTTCAACATCTACACGGCCCCTTGTTCGTCCGAGTTGGAGGCTTCTAATATTTAAGAATAAGAAATATTGTTACTTGGAATTTAAGTCAAAAATTTTGATCTTCCTTCTACCTTTTAGAATTTTAACAAATGCTCATTTATGGGGGTCGGCATTGAGCAATTAGTCAAGACTTCAAGTAGTAGTAAAGATGAGCTATAAATTCAAACGTCCTGAGTTTGAATTTTAGCAACTCTTTAATTAGGTGCGCGTAAATTAGCCTGAACATCGGACACCCCTAACTGTTGAATCAAAAAAATAAAAAGTCAAGACATGAAGCGATAGATACATATTCATCTTTTAAAATAATCTCTAAATTTGAGTTCAGCAGTTAGCCAGATTAACATCGTATTTTGGGGGATTTATGGCATGTACACATAAACTGTGAGGTCCATAAGAATCTAATTCATTAGAGTTATTGAATTAGTTATGTGTTATAATGTTAGATGAAATATATTTTTAATTCCACGGTATAATTGATTAAGTATCAAATTATATATAAATACTATTTTGCATAAAGTATAGTTGTAATGGGGGCCCGAAGTAGTCGCTACACTTGTTAGTAGTTGACTGGTCATTATAAAAAAAAAATCAAATACTCATAACTGCCCCTCGCATGCGTGCATGCATTCAGTTGAATTCAAAGACTGCATGGTCTTAGTCCCCCCCCCCCCCCCCCCAACCCAGTCATCAATGGATTTTCTTTCCCACAAACACAGAGGCTGCCGTAGAGCCGAAGAATCAATGCTACCCAACTTAGACTCGCAATCTCTCATTTTTCTTTGTTCGTGCCCTTATTTTCTTGTCCCAAGAACTTCCTTCGTTGCTTCCTATAATTCAAAAACACATTATCAACTAGACAAAATACCCACGTTTGTTTTGAATGCTGCAATTTTTTCAGCCCCCTGGTCAAGTGTTATGACTTATGATCTTCAACACCATTCTCTGGATCAATATAAATAGGTCTCCAGCTCTTACTTGCTGTATCAAACTCTCTCTCTCGTCTCCAGCTCTTCGTTGCTGTATCAAACTCTCTCTCTCTCACACACACCCCTACCCCACAACAAAAACGAATCCAATATGTCGAGGGGACTTCAATCTTTAACTATCTTTTTAGTTGTTCTATTACTTGGTTCCTTTTTCTTTGCAACCGAAGCTCGTCCACTCAACATCTTGAAGTCTGATGGCTCTGCTACTGAAAGTATTAGAGGGATTTTTGATGTATTATCTCTTGGAAACATCAAGCAAGGTCCCAGCCCCGGTGTAGGACACAAATATACCGACCATCAAACACTTGGAGGGATTAAGGAATCCGGTCCGAGCCCTGGCGAGGGCCACAACTATGTTGCTGGCACACACCACTGAGCAGTGCCTCACTTCGATCTCTGTTTAGCAGTGATGTGATTCTCATGGAAATATTCCAACACTCATCTGTTTCTTTTATCATAATTTTTCATTCTTTATTATTATTACTATTAATTTTCTCGTTGAATTGTCAGGCGTACTGCTTGTGTATTTGTAGGACATCAGTAATTGGTGATTCCTTAGAAAGTTCAGTCTGTGAAGGTCTTCTTATGTATAATTTATTCGAATGCAATTTCATTATTTCTCTTTATTCTTCCTTTTGTGATGCAGCGACGCTGTTATATATATATAGAATCACTGTCAGTGAAAAGATTTCATAGTTGTAGTGGTATTTATATTGTTGTATGGAGAGGAGAGAGAGAGAGA